TCAATCCGATGTGGTGTTCTTTCTATGAACGATGACAACGATGACAGTCCACTCCTTAACTGTTACGATATATAGGGTACAGGCAGGTGCGGATCTACTGCAAGATTTTTTTTTTAAAAAAAAATAGTTATGTATCTAGCCTCTTTAAAAATAAAATATTTGATCTCCACCTCCTTAAAGAAAGAAAAGGTGAAGGTGCAAGGATAATTACACAACAAGTCTGGAATTTTGATCGATTCATAATTGGGAGTCAAAGATTACAGAGTAGAAAAAAATATTCTGCTTAATTAGTCGACTAAAGCCTCCCTGAAAAGAAAATCATATAAACAAAAAATCCAGACTTCTATAACATAAACATAAATTAAAGGTAAACTAGTCAACAAGAAATCATAAAATAGGTGAAATTTGGGCATGATTTATCGTTAAATCACTTTAAAAAAGGCTTGAAAGTGCATATTTAGAATGGATTTTAACGGCTTACAGGTCAACATTAGATTGTGAAGCTCTTAATGATTGAACTCACAAAACTTTCAGATAAATAAACAGTTTTATCTAGGAGCATGGTGTATCTATAAGCTAGTTAATTCCACTTAATTAAATTTATATAATGGATGAAAAATGAGTTGTTAAATAAAAATAAATAGAAGATAAGTTGTTGGTATAATTAGTAGAGTTATTGATATAATTAGTAGAGTTATTGATATAATTGATAGAATATGAGTTGAGATGATTTGTTAGCATAATTTATGGCATAATTAGTGTCATGATTTATGAGCTTTGTATCCTCATTTTTGCTTATAAATAGATAATGCATCTAAACCTTAAATGTACACCAAGATAGAGAGAAGAAGAGGGGAGTGAAGAGAGAACAGTCTCGTAAAGTTGTGAGGTATTTATAAGAGAGTAAGAAAGTAAGTGAGATGTTTTTTCCTATTAATAGAGAATGTAATTCTCACATTACTTAGTAAAATTCTTCTATACTTGCTCATAAATGTAATCTAATTGGGTGAACCATGTAAATTCTTATATGTCTCATTTCTTATTGTATCATATTCCTTGTTTTTTATCTTATTGGAAATACATACCAATATCCTAAGAGTATCCGCTCTTGTAATCCTAATGTTCTTTTTCGGTTATGTATTTGTTGGTTTTTTAATGTGTTTTTTTTTTTGTGATTCTCTTTTTTTTTTTTTTTGGTATCTTATTTTTTACTATCTTCTAGTTATTCCTTTCAATATATTGACTTCTTTAAATATATATATATATATATAAAAAGTTTTATCAATTATTTTCCCCTCACGCCTTCAAAACTTGTGAACCGAATGTATCACGATGCCCACGTCTCCTTAGCATTTAGTTGATGTGGGCTCTGCATACTTAGAAATTTCTTAGAACTTAGGTAGGGAAGGATTAAAAGCTCGAGCTATAATAATGAAGATGACATTGAAGTCCTTTTTCTCGTAAATAGAAAACTAGGTCAAAAAACAGACACCTGATTTGAAATGATCTGTCTAAAATCTTCATCCACGATCTGATATCCCAGCCTCGCGGTTCCTCTCGTGCATCGCTCTTGACCTGAATTCCCATGAGCCCGACTCTCAACTCGTTTCAATGTACCTAGGGCCTGCAATTATTAGACCGATTAGACAGAAACCCACATTTGCGTGATTTCTTTTTTCTTTTTCTTTTTAATTACTTAATATAATTTTCAAGTTCACTGATGAAAGGGAAGGCTGTGAAGTCATATTCATGTACGAGATATTTTATTTTTTTGTAAATATTATTATGATAAAATTATTATTAACCTTTTTATCCAAGGAAAAAAATAAAGTAAACCATACAAGTTAAACCTTTTTAAATGTATTTATTATTTTTTCTTTATTAAGTTGCTGACTTTATTATTACCTTTAAAGAGTGCTCAAATACTGTTAAAAAAACTTTTTACATGTATAAAAAGGCGTTCATCAAGAAAATTTAGTTTAATATTTGAAAAAATAAACTATTTACATAAACACTTAAACAATTTATAATTCAATTAGTAAAACATCTTATCTAATAAATACTTCTAATTTTAACACTTCACCACTTTTTTATATATATATTTTTTCTGAATTATCGATAATGAGTATAATCTCTAAGTTTTGCGATCGCTGCATGTTTTCAATCAAATGATTTGAGGTGAATAGTCTAATCAATTCGATTTCCAAAGTTTGGAATAAATGTAAAATCTTTATAGTTTTGCTGTGACATGGACTCCAAGCCTCTGTTGATGAGCATGTTTTATTTGACCCCCCCCCCTCCCCCCGCGTTTCTAGTTATATTTATTTAAATAATAAAAATTATAAATTTTTTAGAGTATTTATAATTTTTAAACTTTGTTTTTGTTAAAATAGAGAAATTAAAAAGTTATTTTCTCCTAATAACATTAATAAAAAAAATAAACATTTATTATACAATATTAATAATATAAAAATATAGTAAGTTATTAGAAGAATTTTTATATATTTATGGGTATAGAAAAATGAATATCTCTAATATTAATATTTTATATTAAAAATTATAAAAATAAATAAATTCAGCTTTATGGATCAACTAGGGGACTATAATGATTTCCAAGTCTTTAACCCTTTATACTAGGCACATTACAAAGCTCATGGTTGATAGATATAATAGTTTGTAAGACTTGCATCCGCTTAAATTTATTATATAGTTGAACTAAGATATTAGGTTTAAAAACAAGTAGACTCTTATCATCTAAGTTTAATATTTTATCAAGGGTAAAGAAATTTGGTTTTCATGTAAGTTTTATTTATCTATTATTTGATTATAACCCTGTTTTTAAACCTTCAAATAAAAACTAAAGTTAAAAATTACCATTGAGTTATTATTTTATTTTTGAATTTTTAAATAGTTGATGGTTTCAACATGTTTTTAAAAATTATCATTGATTTATTACCTTATCTTTGAATTTTCAAATAAAAACTTGGACTCAAAATTAATTTTTAAAAACATGTTGAAACCATCAATTACCATTACAACTTTTTGTTTTTTGAATTGAACAATAGGAATCCCGTCAACTTCCAATTATTCAATTGTCAGGGATGATATTGAATTTTAAACAATTTCGAGATTGTTGTTGGAAATTGACAAACATATTTACCTAAATGAAATGAAGTTGAGGTTGTAGGAATCAAATAGTTACTTTGCACCACATTCGCTGTGTTGACTCGATTTCACCCATCAATTCCTTCTTCATCTAATGTATCAATTTGATAAATAGGACGGGTGGGAGAGGACATGAGGGAGAAAAGAGGGGGTTGGTCTTAAAGACATATGACGGCTTTAAAGAGAGTAGGTCCGCCGTGATGATCGGTGGTTTGCCACAGCGTTTTACATCTTGTCAAGAACTCACAAAACAGGTGGGCGTCTTCGGTGATCCTGGTATTTCTCTACACTCAAATAAATAGTAAATAGAAAGAATAAGAGAATATAAAAGCTATTATATTGTCACTTGTTTACATATGCATCATCCAACTATTTTAAAAAATCTTAAGTTTCTAAGAGATTGTTTTGAATATTTTTATAAATTAATAAAATCATATATTTAATGGATTAAAATATTTTAATCTAATTTTAATGTATAATCTTCTTTGATTATATGGTGAAAATAATAATACTAAACAAGCATTAAAATAGAAATATGATGGGTTAGAATTACCTTAGTGTTATATCCTATAAACATGATTATAGTATCGTTAATATTACAAGTATCCCTCAACAAATTTTTTCATGTGTAGCTTGTGGAGCAACGCAACCTGTTTGTTTTTCAAGAATGGCGTGCTAGTGATTGACCGGATGGAGTGCAGTCCGATGTGAAGCAGCCTTTAAATGGACCGATAGACTGTTGATGATATAATAATTATGGCTTGAAAATATATTAAAGTAATTTTTTTAAAAAAATATTTTTAATATTAAGATATTAAAAAATTTTAAAAAATTTAAATATTAATTTAAAATTTAAAAAAATAATTTATTTTTTAAAATATATTTTAAACACAAAAATAAACAAACTCCAAGTAATCTCTTGTGTTTAGATTTCAGCTGTACCAAAAAAATACATTAATAAACAAAGTTAAAACAAACTATTGTGATAATATGATTAAAATAAATATAATTAATACTATTTTTTAAAGCACTATTAGATTTTTAATAGGCAATACTAATTAGTAGCATTAAGATATCTTTTATACATTACGAGTGATTTAAACGCTTATTTCATGAAATTTATGGTTTTACATGGTGTATAAATTAAACAATAATCAAATAGCTATGTTTTTTGGTTAACATTTTTGCCACAGAAATTAATTCTAAGACCATCTCAGATGTATTTATTTTTATTTTCTTAACCAAACAAGTTTTTTGCTTCATTATTGTCCTTGTTCTTCTATCAAGAAACATCAACCAAGCATATATAATTTAAGATAATTTATTGTAATTATGTAAAGCCAAGATTTATTATTACACTGAAATGTGTTGTGGTTGATCCGCGGTAGATGTAGCATCTTACCATTTAAAGTCTATTTAAAATTATAATAGTAATCACTGTTCAGAATATTTTTTATTTAGAAATAACTCACAATCAGAATATTTTTTATTTAGAAATAACTCAATAAAAAAAATTAATTTTAACATTAATATATTAAAACATAAAATAAAAAATCATTTTAAACAAAATAAATTCATAACTTTTTAAAATAAATTCATAACTTTTTTAAACATAATTTGTATTTCATTTTCAAACAGTCTTTCAAACCCATCTGAACCAACCCGTGGTTGCCCAGCAAGCTTTACACTGGAGGATCTTATTGTTGAGACCTACAAACAGGAGAAATGATGTGTTGGAAAGCAACATTGGAGCAAGATTTTCTGGTTGCTTGCTCCTGAAATTCGTACGCGTCTGCATTCTTGCTAGAATACCTGAAATATATCTAAATCTTTGAAGATAAAAAGAATATTATGATCACCCACCATAACTTTCTAACTCAGAACATAATTCTTGAAGAAGATGCTACATCATTTATTATCCTGCTAAGAGCATCTCTCTTTTCACCTAAAGGAAAGAATGCGGTTGCTTTAGGAAATCAAATACTCCTATGAGTGGTACTTTTTAAGACTTGTAACTATTATAATATTCCCCTTTTTGTCTGAGCTCTTAACAATATCAGTTGGACTTGATTGTGCACAGTTGGGGGTCGGTCTGGTAGTAGACAACGTCTCCTGTGTCGCTCACATAATGATCTTCTCTGATGCTTCTCACTAGATTGCTGAATAAGTGGAGTGGAAATGGCCCAGATTTCTTAGGTTCGCGGTAGTACTTTCCGAGCACCGGCTTAGCTGCCTTTGTCTGTGAAGGCAAGAATCAAACTATCAGTATTCCTTCATAATGAACCAATCTGCACTAAATTAATTTGCAATCTGAAAAGTATTTCTTCGAGCAATGGAGATGGAGTACCGCTTCTACCAAGTGGTAGTGTGGAATCTGAGGAAACAGATGGTGTATAACGTGTGTGCCAATGTCATGGTGGATGCCGTTGATCCATCCATAATCCCGATCCACTGTGGTAAGCCCTCCACGCAAATAACTCCATTCCTGTCGAAACACAGACCTTAATTTACTTCTTGGTAAAATAAATCCCTTGCAAGTGTCGGGTATTGTGAGAGGATATATATATATAATAACATCAGTGTACCTTGCCGCGGTACCAGGGAAGTTTCTGCTCATGGCCATGGTGATGCAAGTATGTAACAAAGTCCAGCCACATAACAAATATCTGCAAATTGTATTAAACCTAAGTGATTTCAGCAGTGACAAGTAGGAAATCCAAGATTTATGGGGTAAAGTGACTCACCAAGTACGGAACACCATGGATCTTAAGCACTTGGACAGGGTCAAAAACATAGGATGAATAGATGAGCAGAAGAACCATTATAGACCAACAGACAGTTGAGGTTAACACAGCTTTCCTTTCACTGGGAGCGAACAATTTACTGTAGGGATTGAAGTGAGAACCCTCTTTACCTGGACTTCTTCTCCACTGAAACTCAAAAGGCAGCAGAAAATCAAAATCAAGACCGTGAAAGATATTCCCATTTTCTGTTCATATTATCGAGATCTATGCCTGCCTACATTTCTTTTGTTTCTTACATCTTTTCTTTTTTGTTTTTCTGGTAAATACTTATCCTTGATAAAGTCAAGATGTAAGCTCTCACCAGATATATGGGGTATGCTAACATGGGGAGAGGCACAGTGTATCTCATAATCCGAGTAGTCAAGTCTAAATTCTTGTAAATCTTCTCAGGCAACTGAAAGAGATTAAAGAGAGGGTAAGGGATTACGGACATTTGGCTAAAAAATTAAAGAGATGAACAGAAATTTAAACGAGCAGCAGAATTTAAAAAGAACATGGACATCCATCTGTTCACTTGAAATTAAAATAAGAAGAGCTCAGTGAAGTTAAAGGAAGAGGGGATATGTACCGGAACCCATGATTCATCATTTTCTACATTGCCATGATTCTGATGGTGTGTCCTGTGGCTAATTCTCCTGTACAATATTATTCATGCACACCTTGAAGGCCAGGTAAAAAATGTATGATGAAGATGTTAAAGAAACTAAACATGACTGTGATGGAAAAACTCACCATCCGTGGTAAGGTACGAGAATTGAAGAATGCAAGATATGCCCCACCACATTATTTAGCAAGTGATTGTTGGAAAAGCTTCCGTGGCCACTGTACAAGAAACAAAATGGGTTTTTTCATTACTGATGTAGATGCGTACAAACTTCAATGTTATTCAAGAAAGAGATAGAATCTCACAATGTAAAACCAAATATAGAGATGTAATTACCAGTCGTGTCCAAGAACAAAGATGGCCCAGAACATTGTACCCTGGGCAGCCCAGTAAAGTGGCCAAAATATCCAACTATCCAGGTGCAGAGCAGCTGCTGCCAAGGCAAAGACGACGGTAACATCTCTTAAAACATAGCTCAATGACCTCCATGGATTCTTGACCCAGCAATGCTTAGGAATGGCAGCTCGGATCTCAGCAATCTTGAATGGAGGAGGTGCACTTGGATCAAAATCGCCGTCACCGTCGATCCCATCAACGGTATCATTAGTAGCATCTTTCTTGTTCGATTCCTTCATTATGTTGTTGGGCTCAACTTGGAATCCCAATATCTATCTTGGGACCAAGTTTAATTTCTCGAGTGCTGCTGCTGTCTTTCTATGGGAGATGGGACTAGCTAGCTAGCAAATTTATAAATAAAAGGGTGAAACTGAAGCACATGGAACACTGCCGCATCATTCTGACACAAGTAATTTTGTTCACGCCATAAGCTTACACCTGTTTTGTTTTTAATTTTTACAGTTATGATTTGAAAACAAAAAATTATAAATTGTAGTTTATTGTTAACTGAGATTTAATAAAAAAAGGTCGGAGCTTTCGTACTCTCAATCGAATTTCACACACACAGTCACGTTTCAACTGCACAAATTATCCCAATCCGTACCAATTTTTTCTAGAAACAATTTTTTATATCAATTTTTATTTTAATTTCGAGCAAAAATTAACATTATCATTTTTTTTACATTTTATTTTCCCTTGACAAAGCTAATTAAGCATATCGTGCTCCTGATTTTAAAATGTGGTTGTGGATATTTATTTATTTTTTTATCACATGTGCCTAATTAGTTTCCATCACTTCATTTTCCAACCAAAGCTAACACATTTAATTAAAAAAATATTTAAAAATGTAATTATTATTATTTTTTAAAAAAATTTAATTAAAAATATATTAAAATAATTTTTAATATCAACATTAAAATGATATAACAATATTAATAAATAATTTTAAATAAAAAAATAATTTTTTATAAAACATTATTTGAAACATAATTTTAACCATATATAATATGTGGTTGAAAGTGAGAAGCCTTCTTGAGACACCAAGGTTGCTAGAGGAAGAGATGAACTCCAATTTTTCAGAAATTTAAGGAAAACAAAGCAAGAAAACTAAGTTTTTGTCTAATTCTATTTTTGGAAAACTAGAAAAGGGTGTTTTCCACAATTTCTCTTTCTGTTGAAAATTAAAACAAAAAAGTCTTTGCAAGCTTTAGATAGAATTATTAATTAATTTCAACATTTTTTCTCTTTTCTAACATACAAAAATATTTTAAACGGTAATGAATGGATATGTTTTCTAATTTTTGTGGTGGGGAAGGAAAAAAGATAGACAAGTAGAGATGAAAAATAGAAAATATCTTTTCTTTTCCACTTTCCTTTTTCTTGTTCTCTGCAGTTTTTATTTCTCAATTAAAAATTAAAAAAAAATTCTCACAAGAATTGCACTCTTATTGTTAACTACATATTTAGTTGGTTTTTAATCTTAATATCTTTTCTTTTCCACTTTCCTTTTTCTTGTTCTCTGCAGTTTTTATTTCTCAATTAAAAATTAAAAAAAAATTCTCACAAGAATTGCACTCTTATTGTTAACTACATATTTAGTTGGTTTTTAATCTTAATATCTTTTCTTTTCCACTTTCCTTTTTCTTGTTCTCTGCAGTTTTTATTTCTCAATTAAAAATTAAAAAAAAATTCTCACAAGAATTGCACTCTTATTGTTAACTACATATTTAGTTGGTTTTTAATCTTAATATCTAGGTTAACACAAAGCCACAACTTTTGATACAAGAAAAGCTCCTGTTTTGTGGGGAAGATCTTGAGAAATCCGTCACTATATATATATATATAAAGCATTTTCATCATTTAAGAGCCACCAGCAGCATCTTCCTTTTTTCCCGCAACAATTGAAATTAGCAAAAGCCCGAAGAGACATTAATGTCTCCTAAACACGCCGCCTGTCATCCACCCCCGTGGTCGGCAACCATTTATGAAAACATGTCGTTCGCTTGTAGGCTATAGGACGGTTAGGGTTTGAATCACGCTTTACACTTTGAAATGAGGAGGATCTTGTTTTGGAAGAACACGTGTATGCCACCAATGTAGTTTTGAGACTTATTGCACGACCTGGACTCTACATGGCAGGCACTTGGGCCACCGGTGTCCTCGTGCATGTAACGGAAGACCAGCAGGATCTTAACGGTGTCATCGAGATACGCAAGGTTGGACATAATCTAAGTAAGTAGCCCCTCACCACCTCCTAAAGTAACATTAACATTTACATGCTTGAATGCAAATTAATTATAACCATGTTTAGTGTTAACGCGTGATAGTGATACTTTGTGTCGTCTCGGACTTGCTGCTTATTCCGTCAGGCTCAGGATTCTGTCGTTTGGCGCTTTGGCTTTCTCTGGCAAGTCTTGATCCTCACAAAAAACACATCCGTTAAACTCGACCCAGCCTATATCTTGGAATCTCACCAGGACTCCTTCTTTTATATATATATATATATTGGATATTAATGCAATTAAATTCAATAAATCCATGAGTAAATCCCAGGTTAATCTTACATGTGCATTGTTTTTATTTTCAGGTTTATGTGATATATGTATATTGGATCTTAATGCAATTAAATTCAATAAATCCATGAGTAAATCCCAAGTTAATCTTACAAGTACATTGTTTTTATTTTCAGGTTTATGTTATATATGTATATTGGATATTAATGCAATTAAATTCAATAACTCCATGAGTAAATCCCAAGTTAATCTTACAAGTACATTGTTTTTATTTTCAGGTTTATGTTATATATGTATATTGGATATTAATGCAATTAAATTCAATAAATCCATGAGTAAATCCCAAGTTAATCTTACAAGTACATTGTTTTTATTTTCAAGTTTATGGTATATATATATATTGGATATTAATGCAAATAAATTCAATAACTCCATGAGTAAATCCCAAGTTAATCTTACATGTGAATTTTTTTTTTATTTTCAAGTTTATGTTTGATATGATTTTTATTGATTGATTTAAGTTATTTTTTAAACTTTATATCATAGAAAAGTCATGAATATGTAATGGTTAATTGAAGACAGTTTTTGAAATTAAATCCAGATTTACGGTGTTGAATAACGACAACAGTAACACACTGCTACTGTTTTTTTTTTTTTTTCAATAATGGAAGAACAAGAATAAACGTCTGGAGTTTTTGGAAAAGGGTATTGGGTTTATGATTAGATTGTGAATTGAAGTGCCTAATTAAATCACATAATTAATTAATTAATTAATCCGAGTGGATTGTGCTCGATAATAATGTGGTTTAAAGCAATGGCGGAGACATGTTAAAAACTTGGGTAAGTTATAGCTTAGGTTAAGATTTTATTAATGTCTTTTTACTAGTTTTATATAAAAAAAATTATAATTTTTGATTGAGTTATTAAAAAATTCTGAAATTTATGTGAAGCTTTCTAATATAATACTTTAATTTGGTTTAAAATTTTAGAATTTTTAAAGAAATTCAGAAATTTAATGAAAAATCATATTTGACCAGTTTTAGGTAATTAGGTGTAATTTTCAATCCGATCATCAAATTGAAATGAAATTTTACGAGAGATTTAAAATATATTTAATAAAATATGGTTAGAATTTTAGGATGAACAAAACTTGATAGTGTTAAAAAAAACTGTTAAATAAAAGTAAAACGACTCATTAAAGGTAAAATGATTATTTGCTATTAAAAAATATAATAAATCTTCCCTCCTTTTATATGTTGCTAACTGGGCAGAAGCATAATAGAAAAGAAAATAAAAAAAAAAGGCAAGAGAGAAAGCGAGAAAAGTAAGGAAAATATATATAAAAAAAATTAAAGGAAAAAAATAAAAAAATAATCTTGTAAACCTACAAAGTCCAATTTATAAAACACTAATTTAAGAAAAAATCAAGTGACGGAAGGAGGAATTAAGAGAGATTTTTTTTTTAATTAACTAGTTTTTCAATTGATATAAGATTGTTATTTTATTTCAGTTGAGTTGTTATTATAAATCAATTTAGACTTGATTATAGATAAATTATATTTCATAAAACATCAAAAGATATAACTTCAATAATGAGTTTATTTTTACTTTCACTTTAATTTTATATACTTTCAGATTATTTTTTAATATTTTAAATAATATATTTGAATTAAAGCTTTACTATTAACTTCAAAAATTCATTTACATGAGTTAATAATTGATCTTAAAAAATTATATATTTATTTAATAGCTTAGGAAATGAAAAGTTCCTAGTTCTGTCCTTGATTTAAAATATTTTTAAAAAAAATATATTAAAAAAATATTTTTTAATTATTTTTGACATAATACATTAAAATAATCTGAAAAAATATTAATTTAAAATAAATTAAATTATTTTTTTCAAAAAAACAGTGCATTCCTACTCTTAGACACGGCTTTAATTACTTGTCCTTGTTTTAATTAATCTCTTTCGTACAAGAAATGCGAAATCAACGTGCATGCACCTTGAAAAATTAATCTCTTTCGTACAAGAAATGCAAATTAACGACTTGACTTTAATTGTTAACAATTTACTTATTGACGTCTCAGCATCTTTCATACAGCTTTCACTCGATCGGTATGTCAATAATAATATTATTATTTTATTTGTATTTAATTTTTAAAGATTTTTTTATATTTTATTTTAACTTTTGTCAGATTCTAGATTTATAAGAAAACGAAAAACAAAAATCAAGATGTGGAAATGGAGAACCGTAATGATATTAAGCTTGGACTCTCCTTGTTTCATATAAAACAACTTGTTTTGAAAACTAATTTGTATAATTTCTCATTGTTTGGCTAATACTTGAAAATAATGATTTGATGTATATTATGTGTGAAAAGTATGTGTTAAAAAGGAAATGATAATAACTAATTGATGTTTGATGAAACTTATAATTTATTAATACAAATATGTAGTAAATCTCTGGAGAACCATGTTGTTTTCTATTTTTTATGATTATTTTTCTTTAATTATTAAATATTTTATATTGATTAAGTTTTCTTAGTATATCAAACATGAAAAATAAATAAAATATTTTTTTCTAAAATATATTTTTCATAATGAAACGTAACCGAATGCGCTGAAACACAACATCCATGTCCATGAAAAATGTTAAATAAAAAAAATAAAAAATAAAAAGGTGAAACATGACTTACACATTAAAAAAATCAATCACATAGTAAACTAGCCATGCCACAGAGTCATCAACCACCAAAATATAAGACAACATTGTTAAGGGGACCAACATGAAACGTGTGCTTGGACTGCAACAATAAGTGATTATGATTATTTTTTAAAATATTTTTTTTAAAAAATATATGAAAATTATAATTTTAAAAAATTATATTTTTTATTAGTATATAAAATAATTTAAA